CAAAACTGAGCCCTGGGGAACACCACTCGTGACCGCCAGCTCCATTCACCACCGCTCTCTGGGCTCGGCCATTCAGCCAGTTCTTTATCCACCCGTCCAAACCATGGGCAGCCAGTTTCTCCAGGAGGATGCTGTGGGCAACAGCGTCAAAGGCCTTAAATCGCCCAGCCCTGCGCTGCAGAGCAAGGATAAGCAAGAAGATTCGCTCCGAACTACCCCAGCATGGCATTTACGGGGCTACTGGTCCTACCAACGGGATCTACCACACCACCACCACCTCCGAGAGCTCCCCGACCGCGAGCTCAGTTTAGAAGCCACTCTGTGCTTTACTGTAGTGCTTAATTTTTTTTGCAGAGGGTGTCTCGGTTGCACAGAAAGTGACCTCCGGTCGCAATAAGCATCAGTATTTTTCACTGGCTTTGGTATCATCTCCCACCCACTTCACATCTGCACCAGGGCAGGCTGAAGACTAAAAAGGTGAAGCTCAAAAGAAAAGTGAGCTCTGTACAGCAACGCGATTCGGCAACCATTTCAACGCCAAGAGTCTGTACCTATCCATCAGCCCGGTCGCTAACGGCGTCTTCAAAACAGCAGCACGGACGAGCCCTGCTGGCTCCAGCACGTGCCGAGACCCGCAGCCGAGCTCTGCGCTCGCAGGATCTGTATTCAAAGCAAAACTCTACATTGCTGCAATACAGGAAATAATTTTTTTTTTTTCCAACAATCTCAACGCTCCTGGAATCTACGAGTCACCGAGGGTTTTGTTCCGCTGCGTATAACCGAGAAGCTGGCAAAACCCGTCCTGGGTCTGATTTAAAAAATCGAAGACGTGAACCTCGCAACAAAGCAGCCTCCCAACCTGCATCTTCTGCCAAGCCTCAGGATTTTCCGTTGTGAAAGTTTCCACCGATCCTCAAATCCAACCACTGGAACCAAAGCAAAGGGAGATTTCTAAATAACCCAAAGCGGCGGCGTAAAGCCGGCATCCTTTCGCTCCCCCCGTTTATCCGCTTTCCCGCAGACAGCGCGATGCTGCGGGCTGGGGAAAAATGCAGCGCAAGGCTGGTAGCTATGGGGGGATTTTCTAGATGTCCCCATTTTTCAGGAGTCAAAGAGAACACTTCTCTCTGCAGTTACTTCTACCACGGTCCATGCTATCCTTCACCTAAATACCGTTTATCTCTGCCTGTCGCTCCCTGAAAAGAGAGAAGAAACCGCAACAGGAGCATTAATATTTTTCAGACAGAAGTCCAGACTCAAAAATGTGTGTGGCTCGACACAGCCCAAAGGCATTCCTCCTCTGCCCACCCACCCACGACCGCTGCTGTCCCCAGAGTCCCCTTTTTTCGAAGCCAGCACCGCACGAGCCCCTGAACAGCTGCCTGTTCTCCGCAGGTCAGGGCTGAGAGCTTGGCACGGAGCAAACGCCACATTAAATAGGCTGTCGAAATATTTATTTTTTTTTCCACTCACTTCTCAAATGTT